CCGTGGAATTGTATGTCACGTACCATTCATCTGTACGATTTAATTGAAAGATTCTAACGTTTGGTTTGAGCTGAATGTGAAGTAGGGGTTATACTAGACCGATATGAGCTAAAATAATTTCATCGGATAATTTTTAATGTAAAGTCCGAATAGGTAAAAGTAAAATTTTCTTTGTGATTAACGCTTTAAAGACTAGTGATTACTGTGTGTACCACCTTCTTTAATACACTGAAACTCTGCATCCTGCCCACAGAATGTATCTGTGTGTTTCGTATGGTTCTCACAATAAACAGCGACTGTTTCGCTAAACGGCATTAACCGGCTGGTCTTTGTAGCGGAGACACAGTGTGTTTCCTGTGAGGTACGGCCTGAATTCCATAAGTTATTTAGATGAAATTCAGTCTTTTAATTGGTTCCTTAATTAATTAAGCACCATGCGATGAGGACGCATGAGGGAGTAGGGGTATAGCTCCACCATTCTTAAACGCGGCACCAAATGGAGATGAGTGCTGAGCTTAAAGCTGTGGGCGCTTTATCCTCTGGTATAGAGCCCCCGATACCCTTTAGGCAGGAGGCTGAGTGGCGCCCAAAGGCAGTCTGAACACAGTGGAGAAAGTGAAAATCTTTTGCCCCTGTCGGAAATCGAACCGATTCCTCGGTTGTCCGGCCCGTAGCCCGTAGCTAAACTGGCTGAGTTATCTCAGTAGAGTCTTAATACGAAATATAATGTAATTCGGCCGAGTTCTACTTTTCTCAGTTGAAACATAGCATAAAGATCTAGTATGTGTTCATTTTATACAGTTTCCGGAAAACACCATAAAAATTATAAAAATTAAGAACATTTATTCCGGATAGTACAGGCTAGGGACGAAATATCGGCCATGGATTTGACACCCAGGTGGTTCGTTGGCAAAACGGAATTACGAGACAAAAATTCTTCTTTAGCAAAAAAGACTACAACGTGTGTACTGAAGTCATCATCGGAACCCAAAATGGTGGAAAGGAATTAATTAATATTCTGTCTACAACACATCTCTTTGGGCAAGATCACCACTGGATTTCATCTTGGACTTAAAAAATGCGCGAAGAACAAGGAGTATTAACCCATGATGCTCCAATTTTGACGTCTTCGTTTCGTCTTCAAACCACGAACTTTACATGAAGTGTCCGTGAAACTTCAGGCTGTACGGACACAAGTCAACTGATGGTGTCCACGTCACCTCTTGCGAAACACTGCAACAATGCGGAGGTGAGTAGTTGTTGCTGCAGGAGGAACCAACTCAGCATGGATGAACTAAATAAAGAATCTGCAGTGGCTGTATTTTTGGACTAAAATTGGAGTTGCCACTTTTATATAAAGGATAACTGTTACAGAGAATATTAGACCAGCGCTCTCAAACGATGAGCCCGCGGTTTAATTTATGTATGCTCACATACTCGTATGTTAAGTGATCTCCATATAAATATATGTTATCGCAAACTGAAGAAATGCTCTTTTACAATTTTAAGCTACCTTTTTCGTTTTCCTTTTAGAAATTAAATACTTTGTGTTAAATACCTCTGTTGTTCGTCTCTCTCTTTATGGCGTTTATTCATGTAGACCGGTCGATTGGTGGCGACGAGGATACGGAATTGTGAGGTCCGTTACGGCATCCATTAGAATCTGGAAGGTGGGACCGTGTTACTAGTTCCAGATTCTCAAGAGACGGATGTATGACAAAACTAAACAAACTCCGTGGTTTTAGCCCGCAAGCGAACTGTACCGACCGAGCAACCGCCGCTTATCGGCGAAGTTATTGCCAACTTTAGCGGATAGAGGGTGTAGCGTGGTCAGCGAAACGATGTGTATGACAAATTACATTATTTCACATTCACGAATGTTTCACTGTCTGTGATTGTGACAGTCCTTTGTTTCAGTACTACATAAGACATAAACATTTTAAATACAGGTGAGCATAAAGGGTATTTACAATTCTGGATATTTGTTGTGGCGCAATCAAGCAAGATGCAACATCCGAACTTGAGTTCTGTATCAAAGTGCACACACGCAGTTGCAGTGATTTGCCGCCAGGGTACTGTGGTCAGGGGGCTGGCTACACCTCTGTGACC